TTAATAAAATCTAATACTAATTAACTATTTAATTAAAAAATTTTATTACTAATTAACTATTTAGTTAGAAAATTTTATTAAACATTGATTTCATTTCTGATTCAATTTTTTTTTTCCAATCTCAAGAAAAGAAAAGGAAAAGATTACTGATTATATAAGTGGAATTAAAATATATGTCAAACATATAATGCCTATACAATATTTAGAATTCATAATTTTATAAAGGTATTAACCTTTATTAAAAAAAGAGATATGAAGGATTAGAATTCAAAAGACAAATCCAATATATATAGTAATATCTAGTACCTATTCAATATTTATAGGAGTATTATATAAAAAATACAGTTTTATTTAATATTTAAGAGTGCATTATACAAAAAAATATAACTCTATTCAATATTAAAGTTTAAAAGGCAAATCCAAAATGTGTTTAACCAAATACAAGAAGAAATTAAATTGGAATTGATTTTTATTAATTAGGAACAAATTATTAATTAAGAACAAATTAACAACAAATAATGAACCTTGATGTTCTTGAAGTTCTTGATGTTTTTGTCTTTGTATTTCTAATGGTTATAAGAGTATCTCAACTACTGAATTTTGGTTTCAATAGTATTCTTGCTTTCTATTTTTTTTTTTAAATGATCTTTTTTACGATATCATATGATATAACTCATTATGTGTCACATAATCTGATTTTTTACGCGAGTGCCACCAAAGAGAAGGATTAGAGAGCTTGAGATGAAGAAGAGGAAAAGTTGAGAGAAAGTGAAATTGATGAGAAGTTAAGGTTTGATTATTTTATTTATTTCTACTTTTAAGATTGAGAAATTAGAATTTAGAAATTAATTTTCAAATAATCTAATAAAAAATAAAAAAAAAGTTCGGGTCATTTCGAGTGACCCGATCCACTCGTGATCCAATCCATTTGGGTTCGGATAATTATAGTTTGGATCATTTCAGATTTTAGATTAAGATATAGGACTTATGACTCTACCCATAATAGATGGGTTGGGTCAAATTTTCAAATTGAATCTAATTTTGCAATGTTGACTCAATGCACTTCAAGAGGGGGGTGAATTGGAGTTGGAGAATTTTTACCTCTTTGCAACCACCAAACAAAAATTAAAGAGAGAGTTGAGAAAAAGAGCTTGCACAATGATTTTATAGAGGTTCGGTCCAACCACTTGGAGTCTAATCCTCTACCTTGACTTCACTCACCAAGGATTTTCTCCACACTCTCCACTAACAAAAACAATGGTGGCTTAAAGGAGCCACTCAATCCTTTACAAGAAGAATGGTTTCTCTCAAATCTCACCCCTTTACACTTAAACCCCAAAGATCCTCTCTACAAATCACTTTTGAAGGAATCAACACACCCCCAAGATCACTCACTAATAGCACAAGAAGAGAATTACAAACAAAGATCTATCAAAGATCAAAAACTCAAGTAAGTAGGCAAAGATACTCAATACAATGCTCTCTAAACCTCTTCAAATATGTTACCAACCATATTTATAGCCCATTGCTCGAAAATAACCGTTACTAGCCATTGGGGGTCATTAAATGCTCTGCAAGACGCGAAACTCGAGTTGCAGGATTCTCAGGAGAGTCGGCTTAGGTTTCTAGAGCCGGCTCTGCAGAGCTGGCTTACACTTCCAGAGCCGATTATCCGGGTTTGTAGGTCATTCTGTTTTCCTCGAGAGCCGGCTGCAAGACTTTGAGCCGGCTTTGGAATTCCAATTTTAAATAAATTCAAAAGAGTCGATCGTTATGCATTAAATACACCCTCACAACCGGCTATAAAGTTGGAGCCGGCTTTGCGTCTTTTCTTTGTGCGCGCCAAACAATGGTCGTCAAATTTTTGCCTGTAGAGCCGGCTGCAGCTTCCAGAGCCGGCTGCAGCTTCCAGAGCCAGCTCTCTACACATTTTGAATCCTTTTGGTATATTTTTAGTGCAATCCAGGTTTACTTGCAATTTTTTAGCAACTTAACTACACACTTAAATAAACCAATTAGTCACTCAAATGTGTTTTATAATCATCAAAATCATAGGTACAACATGCAAAATATAAGCAAAAATAAAAACATGTAAAGGCATGCAATGCCATATAAACCATTAACAATTGGTGTCAAGAAACTTAGTGAGGGGCTAATTTGCTTCAATCATGAGGTTAGAGGGCTTATTGCTTCTTTTTTTTAGTTTAGGGGCTGATTGCTTATTGTTGGAAAAGTTGAGAGGCTTAAGAAGGGTTTTGGCCTCGAATAAATTGAACCCTCGACTCTTGAGGTGGGTCCATAAAAAAGAAAAAAAATCTTAAAATCATTCAAACCCTAATCACGTGTTCTCGTGGGTTTTGATTTCACAACCCTCCAGTATCCAAACCCCATTCGTGACATCGGAAATCCAGTGAATTAAGTCATCCTTACCAGATTTTTGAGCCCTTGTTTAGCTTTGGAGTTTGAACCCTTATAATTTTTTTATATTTAAATGAGTAATTATATATAATATTATTTATATTTTTAAAATAAAAAATTAATTATTAAATAATATTATAAAATTATAAAAATTTATTAAAAACACTTTATCTAACCTATTCTTCATAATTCATTTCATAAAACTAATCTTGATAGGACCTTTTTAATGTATTTATATGTCTTAATTCTCATACAACTTAATTTTGAATATAACAGTATCACATCAACATCTCTGTTCCTGTCATCCTGTGAATCAGATGGCTATTGAAGAGCTATTGAGTGAAAATGAGGTTGTGGGTGTTTCTCTTCATTATTTTCCTCTATATGATTGTCGATCTTAAACTTGCATCCTAAAAGAACTTTTTACATAAGAAACTGAAGTCTTCGACATTTAAAACTCAACTTCATTAATAATCCCAGGATTAATTAGACTCATAAGTGGGTTTAATTCCCTTTTGCATCATATGTAGGTGATTATTAATTTATGCATAACCATTCATATTCAATTTGTTCAGCTTACTGCCTACTGCTTTAGATTATTCTATTTGTTCTTTGCATTCAACATGCTACTGAAAAGCTACTTGGAAACTCACTGGTTGACATTTTTGTGGTCTTCT